CGATCTGCTGTATCACATTTCCATCAAATACCCTCAATATACTCTACCCAGATTCATCTTCGAAGGACATTTGCCATTTTTGTGTTACCCTTAGTGCTATAATCAATGTTGAAAGTCCTAAAAGATTATTGATTAATGCGAAAGGATCGAAGTAGGAAAGGTAGTGGGTCAGCTGTTTTTTGAACAACCAACAATTTATTCCTGATTAACTTTGCTATCTCCCAACAGATTTAAACACCTTTCGCAATCGTCCATCTACATAGGTTAGACATCGATTTGCCGAGGTAAGCCTAGTTATATTGAATGCCTCAGGTAAGTCTAACGTTCTCGCTTTCATCCGATGTTAGTGTCATCAACAGTTTTTGATTTTCCATTATTCGCTACGAATTAAAATGCATTTAACATAAAACTAGCCTTTCCTTTGAGAAGTAATCTAGCATAGGTCGCCGATCATTTTTCCAAAAAATGAGTTTTCTGCGTGTATGATCGGCAAAAGTGGAGTAAGCACTAGACTATGCATTTGTGAATGAAGTATACTGAAATAATCAAACAACCTATCTACACACTTTAGTTGTCTCTGTGATGTGTCCTGGATCATAAAGGTAACCGAACCACTCGGAGAGTGGGCGTGGCCCAATCAGATTCAGGAACGCCCGCTTGGTAACACGGCAGCACATGAGATAGCATTTAGTAATAAATATATAGGCCTAAGCCTAAACATAAATTTTCATTTGTAAGCTGTTTTAGGTAGGTCTGGCCTCAAGATGTTTGCAGTAGTCACACAGTCTGTCCTACTATCAGTAACGTTTCATTTAATTTGCTGTAAAAATCCGGAGGAGCAGGCGAAGGTTGAAATAAATGAGCATTATACAGTCTATGGAAACAAGTACGAGCCGAGCAACGCGACTGAAGTGAAGACAGAGGTGCGCGAATATCTGGGCATCCCCTTTGCTAAGCCACCACTTGGTGACCTGCGTTTTGCTCCACCCCAACCCCTCGACGAGATAAAGGGAACCCTTTAGGCGACAACTCCATCGAAAGCCTGCTGGCAGCCTGCAACCGGCGAATTTGAAAAGAACAATCCCGGTGCACGAATGTGGACCACTGACACATCAATGTCCGAAGACTAACTCCACTTGAACATCTGGACGCCTTTCCCCTCCAAAGAACCTCTGCCAGTTTTGGTCTGGATCTTTGGCGGTGGCTACTACAGTGGGTCGGCGAGTCTTGACGTATACAACGAAGGATCCTCGCGGGGCGGGAGAAGGTCGTGGTGGTTTCGGTGCAGTACAGACTGGGCGCTCTGGGATTCCTCTGTCTGCAACAGGCTAAGCAAAGCGAACAACGGTTGGCGGCCTGCAATATGGGCCTGCTGGATCAACAGATGGCGCTGAAGTGGGTGAGTAAGAACATAGGGGCATTCGGAGGTGACCCAAAAAGAGTGACACTTTTCGGAGAGTCGGCCGGCAGCGCAAGCGTCAGTTTACACTACCTCTCGCCGGATTCCAGACCCCTCTTCTCCCAGATGATTATGCAGAGTGCCAGCATGTTCAACCGATGGGCGCTAGTTGCATCAGATGTGGCCAACGAGCGAAGCGCTGCGGTAAGTCACATGCAGAACCATC